TGTCTAATAAAGTGCAGGAAGTCTGACAGTGACCACTTCATTGATCTAAACAGCGAGTTGTTGCACAATGAAGCTTTAAAAGCGTATTTAATTGTGGCTAACAAGAAGTTGCATTGATGCCTCAGTGAATGTCGAATTCTTACGAATCAGTCACCATAAGAGATGCAACGATACTCAAAACTTTGTCACATTACAATTTCAATTTTAATTGATAGCTCAAAGCCCACATATTAGCATTAGCACTGAGAAACATACATATTAGATTAGCTAAATGGTGTTGACACATTGTGAAACATGGGTCATTTATACAAGGATTTGAGGACACAGACAAACTAAGAGCCACAGACTGCTCTTATTCTAAGTTCAGTGACTTCACACAAGTAAATACATTTACCAAACGTGGAAATTAATATGTGATTATTATGCTTTTGATGTGTTTTTTGTAAAATAAATTACATAATCTAGGAGATTACAGATAGCATTGCATTTATTTTAGGAGACATATAAATACATATAATAAAAAGTATTTAAGTATTACGTATAATACGTATTCATTATTTCTAAGATAAAAAAAACAATAATGCCTGTGTGATTTTAGCTCATAATCATATCTAAACATGGATACTTCCCATCTATGTATTAAATACAAATATATATATTTTTTTGTCCTGATAAACACCCACATGGCTTTATATCATTATTCCAGCATGGAGATAAAAAAAACTAAAACCAAATGCACATTGCAGCTTTTATTAAATAGTGGAATAAGTAGGTAATCACACATGATAAGAAATGATTGAGGTGTGCTAATCAGGACACCTTGAGTGCACTTATACCATGTCCACAAAGGCAAGGTTTGTTTAAATTCACTAGTTCCATCAGTGAGTTAAGAAGTACTGCTTTAGTTCCTGCGGTTTACAGTAGTTTGAGCTTTAATTTAGACCAGTAGTCAAACTGTTGAGAGTATGTTTGAGGTGTCCTGATACACCTGCAAGCCAATCAGAGCCTGTTTTTCCTTGGTTACCTAATTACCTGAATCAGAGCAGGTTGGAGGATACATGGCGTGAGTGTTAGGCAGTGGAGGGTTAATGCAAGTGTAAAATATGAGTGACGTTCATCAGCGTAGTTAGGATGGCCTTCAGATCAACCCTCCATCACTGTCCATTTCCTGGACTCAAAGTAGCACCAGCCACCCAGAGTGAGGCGGAGAGAAAGAGGGAAGCTAAGTGCAGCTGTAGGAGTCATTATGTAAAAGCATTAACAGTCTCCGTCCTCACATGTAGTCATGGCTCACTGTGATAGTGTAGTCGGTATTGTGGAATGTCTTACTATGGTGTTGTTTACTTCAACAAAAAGCTCTTGACAGTATCAAACCTGGCTGGTAATCAACTGTGGGTCTGGCAAACAAACTTGACGAGGGATTATTTTCCTTGACATCAGCATGTTTAACACATGAAGATGGTGTGTGTATCACAGAGAACAGCAAGACCAACAACAGACGGTTAAACTATCTATATATGTTTTTATAACGGAGCATATATGGAAGGATTTTTTTTGGTTTGTTTTTGGCCACTTTCTCACTGTTCTCAGCCCCACAAAGATATTTATACTCAGTCCTCACTGATCATGCTGAGCAGTTAAGGGAAGAACTACAATAGCAGATCAATAGGGTTCTTATGTGAACATAAACAATATTATACATGATTACCTTCCAAAATGTGTCACAAATTATCTCTGATAAACACATCATTTCCTTTGTTAAATGTTTGAAAACTATTTAGCCTAACTTAACTTTTACAAACTTAAAATCCCACTGGGCAATTATTAGGTTTGTGTAAGACATTATTTCCACACTGTCCAACATTTGAATAAACCACCCAACACACACGCACACTCCACCACCACCGCCATAGCCAGCTGGGCCCAAGAACAAGAAGGCCGTTTCACAACTATTTCAGCCGGTGTGAGTACAGTAATATCACATTCCTAATCCCTGCTGACAAGAAATGAAATGAACAGGAATGGCTCCAAAGCCTGAAATAGCGGCATCAGACAGGAGTCTCGGAGAATAATGTAATTGGGGTGCTTAGAACGAGCCGAGCAAGGAGCAGGAAAGTTCAGCTCTCCCGGCCTTCCACACAATATGAAGACACATTAGTGTGGGACAACATGACTTATTTAGATGAGAGATAAAGAGACAGAGGAAGATTCAGTGGCATTATGTAGCTGTGGTTTAGAAGAATCAAAATGACAGAGTGTAGTTTTCATTAATTAAATATATACAAAGTCATTTTATATCCAATAAGGTGTATTTAGTTGTGACATAAAGAAGGCACATCCAATCTGTTAGGATAATCTATCACTGTCTAAATTAGGAAAATACAAGTGCTGATTTACTGAACTTCAAGTATCCCACATTACTAACACAGCACATATTTCATATGTATTTCCCTTTGTGTGTCAAATCCCTTCAGATGATATTTCTTGACTATGTTGGAGAGCGATCGAGCTGTCAGCAGCAATACGTCAATAGAGCTTCTGTGCAGCGTCTGCCTAAAGTGAGCTCCATTGTAAAAGATGAAACGCCACAATCACTATCACCAGAAAGATTGTGAGAAGTTTATTCTTAGGGCCCCTCTGATTAATGCAAATTACACCTTGCTGCATATACAAGTGGCAGCAGCAGAAACATTTCACCATCTCCAACTCTCCATTTTCCTGACGTTCTTGTCTCAGCTGCTGTTTAAGACCTCGGCGTGACACTTCCATTTCAGCACACTTTTCCGGTTTTCTTTCAGTTACACTATGGGTGACGTTTGCATAATTCCCTTGTAATGTTTTTGCAAATAAATTTAAAAAGAAATGCTTGGAGGCATGTCCGTTCAAATGCTGTAAAATGGCTAGATTAGAAGGATTTTGATTAATCTTTAGTTCTTGCAGCCAATCAAGCCCAGCTCCATATATACGCTGTATTAAATGGAGTCAGTTTAAAGCAAAGTTATGAACATAAAATAACTTAAAATATACCCATTCAAGCAAGATACAATTCTGCTTTCAAGATAAAATATTTAATATATACCTCTTCAACCGCTGAACCTTATCAAATCGTTTTAAATATTTTTCTCTGATGAGTCATGTTTACAATGGCCTGAGTATTGCCAAAGCCTTTAGTTGACCAACTGTCTTTTCTTGCCTCTCTCTTTGCTTCATTTCTACCAGTTGGTCTGAAAATAGTGAAAATGTGTTATACCTGTAGCCATGGAAGCGGCAGCAAATCCCACTTAGCCATCTCCCTGGGAGGCAAAACCCTCTCATTTACACACACACACACACACACACACACACACACATGCAAAGGATATGTGAGCTGCCACCTGTGATTATGGTGCAGTTACATAACAAGGTTTACAGTCTGGATGTGTGAACCTTGTGATCTACTGTTCTCCAGGCTTGCAGCACCACGACGTCAAAGCCTTACATTATGCAGGAACGGGTACGGTACCTGTTGCCGACACAGACCAAGAGGCGCTTTAAAAGGACGCTTTGAGCTCCATTAGTTGACGTCCTCAGCCAAACACAATAGCCTGGTGATGATCACACACAGGCTATCGCAAATCACCCTCAGAAGTCTGAAATCAGAGGCTGCGAGGGAGAAAGAACAGGAGCCCAGAGAGAGAGAGAAAAGGGAGAAAAAAGAGAGAGAGAGAGGGTTCCTGCACTGATGAATCATTAGTGATAAAGCTGGGACTGAGCCAGTATGGCTGTATTTAGAAACTTCTCACTCCCCCCCCCCCCCCCCCAACTACCCCCACCCCCTTACTAATTGTCATCTCTTTTAGCATTTGACTGATGACTGGCTCTCTGAAAAGACGTGAGAAAAGGGAAGCGGGCACTCAGGTCTGAGGGTAATGTCACACTTTGAAGCCGTCAAGGGTAACCGTGATGTACTCAACAGTGGCAGCGATGCAGAAAAAGCTGCAGTTTGCTCCCAACGACAACTAAACGGCAGAACCATGGACACTACCTCATCTTTTCAGAGACACAGGCACAGTAACACATCAAGACAATAGAACTGTGTTAACGCTGAAAACAACTCTTCCTCAGGAGAACAGCGTTTTCCTAGAAGACTAGAATTGTAGAACAGTGTCACAGAATATGATGAAATAAAATGGCTGACTAACTATCCCTTTCAATTCCTCTGACACAGGAGTCCTGGTGTGGCGAGAAAGCCATATCGTCAAAAAACACATACGTCCTCAAGTCAAATGTTATTGATTAGTCTTTGGTGACAAGTGTGAAAGGCATCTGTCTTCACAGAGACACAGCAGCCAGCAGCATGATACATTGGTCCACACTGCACTGCACAACACACATAGGATCTTTCATCACGGCAGCAGACTATCGCAGGTCAAAAAGATGCATGAATATTTGACCCGGTCATGTCACGGCCATGCGACAATCAATTTGATGCTGCAAAGTCCCGGTGAATTTAATTTATTCTAAACATATAACCTCCCATTATTTCCTCTGAACGTAAATGATGGGATAACAGGACTTATCTCAGAGTAAAAGCAGAGCAGATGGACTAACACGGCAGCAAACTCTGGGCTGTAAATGTTACGTGGGAAGTCATTGTATAAGCCGTTCATCTTCATGATGTTGCCTCCATTTACTTTTGATTAACATCTGATCAAATACAATGGCGGATTGTCTGCTTGTGCTTTCTAAATGATACGTCTGCATCAAGTTGCTGTCAACTGGTAGTGCCATGATGTGGGAGGGAGGAAGGGAGGGAGAGAGACAACAAGAGAGAGAGAGGAGAGGAGAGGAGGAGAAAAGAGAGGGAGGGAGGGAGGCTGCAAATGGCAGCTTCTGTGACACCACTGGAGGGAGGGAGAGAGGAGACAGGGAGGGAGAGAGCAAAGAAATAGTCAGAGGGAGAGAGAGTGTGAGAGTGAGTGTGATAGAGAGAGAGAGAGAGAGAGAGAGAGAGAGAAAAAAGATCATCAGTCCAACTAGATCAGATTGCAAAATATTGATAAAGAGAGATGTTCAGTTAATAAGCAGTGAGGAGTATTGCACAGTTGTATGGCAAATGTGAAGGAAAGACTTCATGTTCCTCAAGATGAAGGATGAGCAGAAGACCAGCTGAAGAAAATTGCCCCAGAAGATGGAGATACAAAAAAACCTGAATTTTCCCTGGGATAATCCTCATTAAACGCTTCGTACCTGTTCCGTAAGCGCGGCGCTGACCGAGCAAAAGTGGTTCTGGTGTTCTGGTGTGATTCAGTCCGGTCAGAATTGCGTTTCATCAGCGCTCGCAACAGCGCCTGAAAAAGAGAGAGAGAGAGAGAAGAATTCAAGCAAGGATGAAGAAATTCAAACGGGGTCTGTGCCTTGTGCTGAAGATGATGGAGTGGTTTTCTCCAGTATCAGAGTAACACACAAAGAAGGAGCAGCTGCGGTGGCAGATGCAAAGAATGCCTCAGTTTGGTTAACAGGGACACTGGGAGAGAAGATACCATCTTTTGCTTCTGCAGCCTGGGGGAGGACAGGTAGAAATAAAAGGTAAGAGAAGGACAGAAAACTTCAACTCAAACTTGTAGCCTGATTGTCACGTCGACATCTGTCAGATGTCACTGGTCCGTAGTGTTATAATGTATACTCTCAAGCTCTCCCTTTGGAGCAAATCCGTAGTCACCTTGTTGTAATCTAATTCATATAAATCATTTCACAAACTTGGAGTAAATGTATAAAATGGCTAAAGATTCCATGACTATTCATCTAATGTGAATGTAAACACCACACATTGAAACTGGAAGTCATTGCTGTGTAGTCTCATGGTTTCATGTCAAATCCACTGTGCTGTAGTGCAGAGTCAAAACAACAAATAATATATAACTGATCATCTACCTACATCTCCACAGTATGTAGCTTTACCACAGCAGAAGCTTTTCTGCAGAATGTGGATGAACCCAATATTTTAAATGACGTTGATTTCTCCACCCCACGACTCTCAATCACCTTTAATCTTAATCCTAGCATCGATTTTGAAATGGCCAAGAAGGCCGTGCCTGTTGACATCAGGCTGCATGATATTGACAGGCGCTCAGCTCCCAAATGGTTCAAACAAACAAACTTGTAGAAATGTAGAAGGCGGACGAAGACAAGCATTAAAAGCAATCGGTTTAAGCAAAACCTTCATCCTGAATTTACCAATAAGGTTTGAATATACATTAACAGCGGATTCACCTCGACATTGTCTCCATCAATATCAGAGCTCAATGTTCACTAAGATGGGAGAGGATATAAAAATAATATATTGTGTGACAGTACTGCTGAAATGATCAATTATTGAGTGCACAGAAAATGTATAGGAGGATGTGAAATCTATGAAAAATGCACTAAAAATTCTGGAAGGTTTCTGCTATTTTTCTGTATGTTTCTCTCTTCTTCTTGAGGTTTATTGACCATGAATCAGACAAAATAAGACATTTAAGGAAACCGCTTTCAAATCTGGTTAACTGTGATAGGAATTTGTAAGTACTTATTAGATTTGATAGACTAATTAATGACTGAAATTAATTTAGTCTAGCAAACATCCAATAGACAATAACAATCGTCCGTTTTAGGCCTGGACGGATCAAAACATTCAGTCATTATGAGCAAACCCTCATTTCTGCACTACATCTTCCCAATTCAACTTCAACTTACACCTTGATAATAAATGCACTGGTTACCACTTGAGCACTTTTTAGGCCCCTCATTATCCTACCAGTGTTATATCAGATAACTAACCACAGCTTGTAATTTAGGATAATATTACTGGAGGACAGACATGAGCAGGTATCAATGGATAAATGTGTTGCTTTGGGTACTGCACTTTTCTTTCAGTGTATAAAGAAATCCCTAATGTGAGGGTACAAAAGAGACAGAGGATGAAGAGGACAAAGATTTATGCAGAATAGCCTGACAGTTCAATTACCTCACCCTGCTTTTCATCTCAGCTTAGTTCAGTTTGATTCACTTTCTATGATCCAAAAGGGATATTTAGCAAGCACACTGAAAACATAAAATATTACACATCCACAACAAAAAGGCACGATATCACATCAAACACATGGACTACAACCTATGCATCGTCTTGTATGACTTTATGTAGAATATCTAGCAGTACTGTGTTAAAAGTAATGTTTCTAAGCGTGTGAGCTCTAACCAACAGGTGCTGCTTCAAATTGGAAATTACAGAGTTTAAGTTGAATATGGGCGATGCAGCCTTTGTGAATGGGCACAAGTAATTAAAAAGCTGCACAAATAAAGATCAAAAAAGCCCAGTGAGAAGCGTACATGTGGGAATGATCAATCAAAGGAAACCAGGTGTTTGAGAGGAGAAAAAAAAAACTACAGGTGCAGCTAGCAAAAAAACTACAGATTTTGTTCTACTTGTATATAATATACCAGCTGTTAAAACAACGTGAGAAGGTGACTCAGTTCTTTATGAACACGTCCCTCTACCACTTCTCTCAACAACCACCTGACATGGTATCTCAGCCGCAGGGCATGGCCTACATAGTGAGTCTGTCTGATTCTAACTTCCATCTCTTTGTCTAGCAGTTGAACCATAGACAGCCTTCGAAATGCCAATTATTGCATAATTCTTTTGAAAAAGAAAACAACAACAACAACAAAAAACTGTGTTGTTGTTCGTATAACATACTGTAAATCGGACAGTTGGTCTTCAGCGCTTCACCATTTCTGCTTGGTGAAGTTGGTGTTACTTTATATAGGAAAATACCTGAAGGTTACTTGAGACGAGATGAGTTCCGCGTGGAGAGCTATAGGAAAATACAATGACACCCGAGCCTCGGCTCTTCCTTCACAATGGCCTTGGGAGGTGGGCCGGGATCATAGCGGTGGAGCTCAGTTTCCTGCAAGCTTCTCTTGAGATGAAGTACCCTCTCCCGCTACACGTCATTGTTCCTCCGAATTCCTTCAATTATTTTGCACATCCAATTATTCATTCTGTTGAACCTAATCAGCTGCAAGCTTATCGTCACCCCAGGTCACTCCTCTTGACTCCCCAAGAACACACACAGCAGACAAGGTCACAAAAGGTTTTTTATGAAGTTATTGGCTGAGGGAGAATCACTTTCTCTGTCCTGCCTTATGAAGCAAAGATGCAAGTCTGAAAATCAAAGTGTTTGAACAGCGAGACGACATAAAAATATGAATACAAAAATACACACAAATGACCAAAAAAATGCTTATTTTTCATCTATACAGCCAGCTTTTCAATTAAATGTATGCTGTATCTGTAATAAATATGACTAAAGAACTACAGATTGATTATTTACCATCTGATACCATTTAGATTCATAGTTATTCAGCTGTCACTAGCAGTTAATTAATCTAATGTCAAACGTCTTGCTAAAGACTACCATCAATTCCAAGTCAAAGAGCTGGGGACAAAGATTAATCTTTAAGCAGCATGTACACTCAAACGTTACATGCATAACCTCTCAGGGGGACAATCTGATTTGAAGAGCTTCCTGTGTAGCTATACAGCAAAGGCTTTCTGCATGGGTTAAGACTCTAAGGCACTTTTCTAATGACTCCAAAGACTCAGGGAGGGGTTTTTACTTTCATTTGACCAATTCTCTGGACACCTGACACTGTACGACTACAGTATGATATGGAGACTGCGGACCATGCTGCGGTCATGCGTGTAGAGACCAAAATGTATAGTGTGACATATTGAGAGGACGTTCAGGCTCAATAGTCATCTCAGTTATATAACACGGTCAGTGTGGTTACTATACCACACAACCAGGCCTACCTGCCACTACGTGGGTGAGCCAATGAGCACAAATATACGTAATTAAACTGTCTGTCTAAAGGATGAGACAATCTAGTTTGGTTGACATTTTCACAGATTTGAGATGAGCGGATGAGGATTACTATTTTAAGCATTACCAGCTGTGTGCTCTTTTGGGAATGTAGTGTGATATTGTCCAAAAAGGCAAAAAGAGCCTTTGGAAGTATAAAAATAGAACATAACGTTTAGCTACAGTATATATTTTACTGATACAGGTATGCGTTTGACCCCTAAGGGACAATTTTTAGATTGTGCATGAAGTAATTTGGCTCCAGATCAGGAGAACCTCCACCTGAAAGAGTGTAAGTGAGGATGGAATCAGTGTGAGTGTGCGGCAGACGGCAGGGCACCCGGGGATTTGGGATCACACATGAGTGAACTGTCAAGTCTTCAGGGCCCAAATCAGGCCAGCAGAAACAGAACGGATGTGGCCAGGCGAGAAAAGCTGTCTGCACCCAGAAGGGCTTCAGTCTAGTCCCTTTGGGCAAAACTCCTTGAACATGAGGCTCAACATCCAGCGCAGTGGCCAGGTTATCGCCGTACTGACATATTGTAGATTAACTACATTCCAGACTAACATTTTGACACATACATTATCAAGTGTGTATAATCTTGTCATTTTTGGTTAAGCTGAAGTTCCAGTATATAATTAAATCCAGGGCATTGCACAGGGGACAAATCGACTACCTACTAGTATGGGGCACCATGGGAAGGTGCTATAAATTGACCGCATCCTCACAACATCATTAATAACACTGCAAATTGTACAGAATGGGGTCAAAAAAATAGTCCTGCAGTCCCTCATCCCTATACGCAGCATCTAGAATTGCATGTCCATGGAGTCAGTGGCATAGATACACAAGTCCCCTCGGAGTGTGTTTAAATACTCACACACACACACACACACACACACAACACAGTCTCACAAAAAGTATTGTAGTGAAAGGACAATGGCAAACTTAAGGCCAAAACAGAAATAGAGGCGCGCAGATTGTCTGTTGAATATGTGATGACTGCATGGCATGCTGCTGATAATCTATAAATACAAGCAAGAGTGCTGAAAACTAGCATGTGATAGCCTTCCCTATCACTGGTAGGCCTGAAATTTGACAGCGCTCCTAATTTCATAAAACACGTAACCAGATACCAGAAGTGACTCACATGACGGTCATTTTTTTTCCATTCCAGAATAATAAACATCTGGTAGGTGACTTAGTGTGTCTCCACTGCCAACCGTCTAATTTGAAAGAGAAAAGCACAGGAACAGCCATGTGACAGAAGTGGATCTGCTGTGAGACCAGCTCTTCACTCACCCAGCCAACATCAAAAGACATGAGGACCCTTCAGTGAGGACCAATTGGATTTTGAGTCGTGATGTTTAAAGAGAGCAAGATGGCGAGGAGAAGGAGTGTAAATGAACTGAAGTGACCGGTATTATAGATACTGACACTATAAACCCTGTACAGAGAAGAGGGACAGGGAAAAGGGTGATCTCATAACGCATAACAATGTTTACTGTTACTGTTAACACATTCATCATGTTCCTTATTGTTTCCTATCATATTAAACATCAGATTTTGCAAGAGGACAAACTTATCAGAAGCTGGCCCCCGGTAGACTGACTACTTACTGCATTAGTTAACAGGAAGACGTATAATAAACAAACATATTACATTAAATAGATGGTAAAATAGTCAGTCATACAGCAAAAATCTAAATCAAGTTAATCTAATGCAGGTATATCTACAATATCCCCCAAAAATAATAATTTTATTCTGAATTTTTGTTCTTCAGAACGCTGTAAGTGATGATGGTGAATTGGTAATTTGTGCTCATTCAGTGAAATGATCTATAAGTATTAGTAAGTAGCAGAATTATTTGAGTATTATGTACGTTTTACAAGGTTTTTCAGTCGAAGGATTTCATGGTTGGTTCTTTGTTGACTATGTATGTGATTTCATACACATGTATGGTGTGATTTGACCATTATGTCACAGAAAGACGCTTACATTGTTCTCCTCTCCCGGCATTCTCTACAGATTGGATTAAAGCTCAAGACTCCCACCCAGCTCCCTGTCTATGACTCACTAAAATGCAACTTAGCCAGTGATCACGCTGTGAGGGGCCTCGATCACTCCAGGCCCGTACCTCTGCACTGACCCTGCAGCTGGAGGTGCGGCCAGGAGCATGAGCGTGGGAAGAATCAACCGCTACAGCATTGTGTCATCTGAGGAAGAGGGCCTCCGCCTCAGTACCATGCATGGTATGAACGGCTTTGGCAATGGCAAGCTCCACACACGCCGCAAGTGCCGCAACCGCTTCGTCAAAAAGAATGGCCAGTGCAATGTGCAGTTTGCCAACATGGAAAATAAGTCGCAGCGCTACATGGCCGACATCTTCACCACGTGTGTTGATATTCGCTGGCGATGGATGCTGTTAGTCTTCACTCTTGTGTTTGTTCTCTCCTGGCTGGCCTTTGGCTTAGCCTTTTGGGTCATTGCTTTGCTGCATGGAGATCTGGATAACCCCGCCGGAGATGACAACTTCACTCCTTGCGTCCTACAGGTCAATGGATTTGTGGCCGCCTTTCTATTCTCCATTGAAACACAGTCTACCATAGGTTATGGCTATCGCTGTGTGACTGAAGAGTGCCCGGTGGCTGTCTTCATGGTGGTCTTCCAGTCCATCGTGGGTTGCATCATTGACTGCTTTATGATTGGCGCCATCATGGCCAAGATGGCGAGGCCTAAGAAGCGAGCACAAACGCTGTTGTTTAGCCACAATGCTGTCATTGCCATGCGGGATGGAAAGCTGTGCCTAATGTGGAGGGTGGGGAACCTTCGCAAGAGCCACATTGTAGAGGCCCATGTTAGGGCACAGCTCATCAAACCCCGGATCACTGACGAGGGGGAATACATTCCTCTAGACCAGATAGACATTAATGTGGGCTTTGATAAAGGTCTGGACAGGATTTTCTTGGTTTCCCCCATCACTATTCTCCATGGGATAGATCAGGAGAGCCCCCTGTTTGGGATCAGCAAACAGGACTTGGAGACAGCAGACTTTGAGATTGTCGTCATCTTGGAGGGGATGGTTGAAGCGACCGCCATGACCACGCAGGCTCGCAGCTCCTACTTAGCCTCTGAGGTCCTTTGGGGTCACCGTTTCGAGCCAGTCTTGTTTGAGGAGAAGAACTTGTACAAGGTGGATTTCTCTCACTTTCACAAAACCTACGAGGTGCCGTCCACCCCCCGCTGCAGTGCCAAGGACATGGTTGAGAACAAGTTCTTAGTCCCGAGCTCTAACTCTTTCTGCTATGAAAATGAGATGGCCTTCCTCAGCCGCGACGATGGGGAGGAGGATGTAGGTGGTGGTGGTAGCAGGGCACTGGCAAACCTCAGTCCAGACAGGAACAGCCGACATGAGTTTGAACGCTTACAGACCACCAGGGTGCTGGATCAAAGGTCATATCGCAGAGAGTCGGAAATATGACCTCGACCCATTGACCCTGGATCAACTTTCAATAACTGTATCCAAGGGTGAAATGCAGAACAATGCAAAGTGCCATAGGAAAAGCTGACTACTGTAAAAGTTTGGAAAATAAATAAGACAACAGTAAACTGGAAGAAATGGGGGAAAGAAAGAGTTCACAGCTTAGAACATTGTGGTAAGGAATGTCTACAATCAAGGAAAAGGCTAGGGAAAGACCTTCTTCCTGAATGGAAACTTGAATCTTTTTTCACATGGTCATTTTGAGTTGAGAGTGTTCAATGATAGTGCATCAAAAACTATGACAGAACCTTATAATCAAATTGTAAGTGTAAATACATTGCTTAGGTAAGTTATGTTTTGTGTGCAGTATCAGTTTCCCAAAAAAAAAAATAGAAGTTGCTATTTCAACTTGATCTTGGGCACAAATAATAGTGTTGCAAGGCCTCTCTTGAGATCTCCTCGCATTGCTGTAATGTACTGGACCTGCGTTTAGTGACACATTGACACATTGCAGCATTCAGATGCATTGAGCAGTGATAAAACATCTGACCATGAGCCACTGAGTACAACATAATTCCACACCTTCATTCATGTATTGGTATGATCCCAAAATCTACCATTGTAGGCACAATTAATTGCACTAAGAAGAACATATAGGAATATGTTGAACATAAATTCAATTGTATGAAGCATCACTTTATTTATAATCTCTTGACCTTATCTTAAAAACAAACATCTTGAGCCATCAACACCATGATTTGGTTGCACTGGCCAGCACATGTCATGTCATGTACAAACGTTAATAAGTAGTCAGGTAAAACAAAAGCACAAATGGAGGACAACTGTCTTAAAACAATTTTTGTAGTTCTTCAAAATATTATGTCTGCAAGATACAGGTTGCAATATCCAAGTTTGTACTGACTAATTAAATAACTGAATAGCAGTGATTTGTAACTCCACAAAGAGATGCACCTTAACGTGTACCTTTACTTTCACAACTTGAAAAAGTCTTATAAACTAAGTTAAAGTGAAACCTGTATACTGGTAGTCAATAACAAGATTGATGACACTTAATGATTTTGTCCTCTTTAAAAAATGAATCTATGCATATTGTTAACAGTATCAGGGGAGAGAAATCCTATTGAGTTCTGCTTGAGATGAAGTGATGTAATGACATTACTTTGATTAATACCTGCTTAGCCTGAAGAAAAAGAAAAATGCATGAACTGAATTTCAAAAATTAGCTGTTACGTTTATCAATCAATCAATCATCTTTTTGACAAGAGTTCAATTAAATTGATAGTCAAAATTTATTATAATTATTTTAAACCACCCTACAAGCATCCATTCCAAATGCTAAAAGGACAAGCATCAAAGGGGTTAATGTGTCTAAAACACTTTGCGTTATGCTAATAAGGTTAGAGTAGTCCAAACGTGTTAGCCAATTTACAGTATCCGGCCCTATATGGCTATTCATTTGACATCAAAAGTGGGTAAATTTAGATGCTCTTTATATTATTAATAACAGAGTCAATCTCTGTTTGACACTTTATCTGGTTTATAGATGATGACAAAATAGTATTTAATAATTATATGACAAATGTATCCTTTAACAAAAAAAGAATGTGTGCAAAACTAAGTTTGATTAAAAACCTGTAATCATCTAAACAGATATAGTAGTAGATACAGTATGAGTAGCAGTAAAATAAAGAGAAAATAGCTTCCTCCTTCACTCCTCATATTGATTCCTCTGGCATTTGCCAACATTACATACTGTAAATGCATTTTTAGCAATATGCTAATACAATGAGTTAATACACTGGACCAAGGTTGAATGGAAGCAATAACAACTAAAGCACATCTTTCTGAATTAATTTTAGAAGGCAGATCATTAATAATTCTCTTGTAATACACTGCATGCATATTTATAATTCTTGATTCCCAGATAATGAGTTGAAGGCATGCTGCGAGGAGAATGACCCTGCAGTCTTTAGTTTATTGCACACATATGCATACGAGTTCTCAGATTTGATACCAAAGTAATGAGTGTAGCTCAGACTTAAGTTTTGAAGTGATTGTTCCCGACGTAATCTTCCAAAAAACACTTTATAGACTGATCTTGAAAAATGGATAGTCATATTCCAAAAAGGTGGTTGAGTCTCCAGTTTGCAAATAGTCTCTCTAGATTTACATTATTCCTGAAGATTTGCAACTAATTAAAGCAAAACCCTGTTCAACTAAACGCTAAAACCAAATCAACTGAATAAGTAACTTAGCTGTAGTTACAGATTCAATCATCTGCTATAGTTTAAGAGGCACAATTATAATGCATGATAACTTTTTTTTTCTTTGGCATGGACACTAGCATTTAAAAAAAGATCCCTTATTCTAGATGCCTAGTGAGAAATGATCACTCAAACCTAAAAATGTTAATGTTTGTATGACAAATACTGTTTATCACGTCCGGTTTATCTGTTACCTCACTAAAACGTGGATGTTGTGTCAATTTTAGTTAAATTTCATACATAAAAGATAGCACATGTGTTAAGAAGGACACCTTTAGGATATGGTGAAAAACTACAACATGAACACATAGAAGAGAACCATGAAATGGTCATTATGTTGGTCACAATGACTAATATTTTCCTAATAGTCATTTAATATATATGATATTTCTAGGTTATATGTTGCTTTTTAGAACATTGTGGGATATAGTAAAATACAAAGAGCATTTTTTTGGCAAATAAGTGAAGCGTTCTTTACCCAGCCCAAAATATTTATTATGCTTATTGCCTTCTGGGAAGGTTCTATACACTGATGTGTGAAGCCTCTGCACCTACTCACTAGCAAAGAAAAGCCGAAGCATTTCTACAGTATAAATTTTTTGCAGATTGTTTTAGCTTTGATGATGCCCACCTGAGCCCTTAAAAAAGAAACACACACACACACACACACACACACACACACACACACACACACACACACACACACACACACACACACTTGTTTTAGCTAAACATAAAGGTTTATAGTGTAAAAAGCATAGTAACATAAAAAGTATAATAGGGAGCAGGAGGCTGAACAACCTGCTTATTTTTATACAAAGTTCTTTTTGATAGAATACCGCAATCAATATTTATCTGTTTTTATTAGAGTACTACCAATGAAATCACTAATGAGGGGCGAAAATATGATTCTTGTCTCACTTTTCAATGATTTGATTTCTGTTGTTTCATTTCAGCACAGATCCTCATGATTTAACAGGTATTTCTCTTAAAGGGATGATTGGAACCACTTTTGACCTCTGTAGAAGTCTTCCTATGTCCAGCAAATTGTCTACTGGGCTCTTGATTTTAATTCAAAGTCATTTAAATTATTAAATTAAAAACTAACTGTGAAAAAAGGTTGTTTTCATCTCTTTTTGTTGAGTGGCCCCAGCAGTCATGGGCGGTATTGAAATGCAAAATCCAATACAAACCTCAGACATCCTCAAGCTTGAGTAATGAATGGATGAAGTGGTAGCTGAGTACATCTTAGTGAGGGGGGGGGTTTAAGATGAGAGTTCAAGAATGAAGTCACCACAGTCAGATGACTTCCTGGTCTGGAGCCAATTATTAGAGAAGGCTCATTAATTAATCACTGTGACACACAAAAAAAACAAAGACAATGGCCTGGAGCCTTTTGGCTCCACTGATGGGTAAGAGGCCTGCAGCTGACTTTATCAGATCAATGGAGTGACGACACATCAACACATGAGAGATCATTATTACTCTACTACCTCAGAACTGAGGACACCGTATTGTTTTCGAGCATTCAATCGCACTATGCCTTTTCGTCACGGCATACTTGACTACTACCGAGCCATCGTTAGTGTAATTAGTAACACCTGTGTGTATTTCCTACTATGACAAGTAAAAATGCGTTCTGTGAAAAAAGCCTATTGCCCAGTAACACACATTTGGGTTTTCTTGTAAGTTAAACGTTTACACTGTTCAACAGAGCTTTATCTCTATTAAACAGATTCCACATTCATAGGCTGATGTAGGAAACAGGACAAGATTTTGGTATCGAAAGCGTTCTGGTTCCCCTTGTAGTACATGTATTATTGACGAATCGCGTTCGAGCAGGCTTTAGTTGAATGCAGGTAAACACAGCAAAAGAGGCGTAACGTATTGACCGAAATGCTGCCAGCTATTGTCTGACGGTGATTTAGCTGTTTATTGGTTTAAAGTTAGCTTGTAAACTGTCTACAACCTGGTCGTGCACGTCGTCGCTCAACTCCAACTTCAGCCTAGAATCTCAAGTTACTAATCGGAGCGCAAATAATGAGCAGCTCGCGGAAAAGTGGGAAATTTTACATTCAAAATGAAATTCTCTCTGGTTGAAAAACGACATAATGGCGACAGTTTCTAAATTACCGTGAGCGTATCTTTGGCATTTTTGCACTGTAATTGTCCTGTTACTTATAGGCCGACAAAGATACCAATCTGTGATAAGCTAATATGGGCCGATAATATTGTTGCAGCCAAACCTCGGTCGTCTCTACTGTTCAGTGATTTGGTTTTCAAGTACAATATAATATGGGATTAGAATAATGTTCATAACAATGTTTTCCAAATATACCGTGTATACAGTTTAAAATAAAACAGTATTTGTTACATAAACTTAGATGAGCTCCTCCAAAGTATAACAGTGGGACTGCTAGTACAATGACGTCATCAGCACCACGCTACACATTTTTGACTGGTGATGAATAATCCTGAACTCTTTGCACGAGATCTGTGGCCGTCAGTTCTTTCTAAATAATTCAGGTTGGGGTGTTTGAATCACCCACACTGAGCGACAGATGTGAGATTAGCATGCTGGCCACTGGTTGTGCTGAGCTCAGGCATTGGGTCTCAGCACTAACTGACACTGGGATCATAGGGGCTGTGCAGGAAGCATTTGCCAAATTTGATTACGGGCCCTGGCAGTGTGTATTAGGCTTTGTGTGGCTCTGTGTCACACACATAAAGTAGAAGTGAAGCTTTCAGGATTAGTGGTGGGCCGTGTTAATGAGTGGCTAATGCATGACGGGTTCTGGAACTCAGAATTTGACTTCACTCTGAAAGTGGGCCTTCTTTTAAATGCTGTGATGTTAAACTGGTGTACTTTCATAGCAGGATTAGATGCCAAGAGGTCCTGGATAATTGAGGGCATGTCAGGAAAAACTGCCCTGTAAGTGAGATGGTTGCTATGTAATCCAACAGACATTTCATTCAGAAGGGATGGATAGCCTATTGGGATGGATAGACTATGAGTTCAGTTACTTGAGTAATTCTCAGCAGGTAGAATCCCACAGTATTCTTGTATTTGTAGGCATTTGTTTATCTATGTTTACCTTACCAACTTGGTTCAGGGCTCTAAGGTGCAATGCTGTTTTCCAGTAGGTGCTATTTGTTGCTAGATTTTGCCAACAAGGTAAGCTAATTTATATTGGCTATTTCTACCTATCCCTCAGGAGGAAAATGCCACCATTCAATGATGTTTTGTTAGCAGTTTCTGAATGCCAGAGCTATGAATGCCACTTATGCAACAGCCTTTTCTAATTATTATTACCATATGGAAGCTGTTGCCACGTAACCTGCTGTCCGAAAGAAAAAAAACCAGAACCAAATTTCAACATACACCAATGCACCAATGATAAATTATGTAATGTTGTAATTTGGTTTTATACAAAAAGAGAGATAGATAGATGGATAGATAGATGGATAGATAGATAGATAGATGGACGGATGGATGGATATTTTGTCTAAATTATGCAACGGCAAGTTGACACCCAGGGTCCCTTGGGAATGTCCCTCCTGTGACTCCCAGGGAACAGTTGACTATGCCAGCTGGGGCCTGGACTCACACATTTGCTCACATGACATAAAACAAAAAGCGGTACACCTACAGAAGACTTTCGGGAGCCAGTTAAAGGATATGAAAGGATGCAGCAAGTAGCCTCACCAGGCTCCTGCCAGCCAGCCAGCCCATATAGACTAGTTATAATTAATGCTGGAATAAACTCCCTGTAGCCTGAACTCTTGATGACAGTAAAATGAGGGGAAATCGTGTTGAAGGGGCTATTTAAAGCTCTTCAGTGTCAAGCCGCATGTGGCTCTCTGGCCACACTTTCACCGCTAAAATATCTCTCTGTTAGTTTCTGCGATAGTATCACTTAATCAAAGATACGTACTGGAGGCCTGAGGTCTATGTTATTATAACTACACCTTTTCTGTATGGAAAATATGATCTACTACGTAGGAATTCATATACATTAATATATATCAGCTCATCCCATTGTGGGTTACAATTGGACAATATAGTACAAACCTAAATCCACTTCAGATTAAATCAAATATCATGTCATTCTATCTTACACAATCTAAGTGCAAAGTGAAATATGTTTTATAGGTCACTAGATGTAGATAATGTGGATGAAAAACACCATTGTTATATATATATGTTTATTACTGTAGCAGAGTTTGAAAGAATGTCAAGACGTGTGCAAAACTCTCAAGTATGATAGTATTAACAGTTAAAAATGACTGTATGAAGTGAATAATACATAGTACTATATTAGGAGATCAATGATTGGTACATACTGAGGGAGAAATGAACTAATTCTATAAAGAGACACCGACTGTGTGTTGTTCCAAACACAACACAAGTGTCTCAAGTGTGATGGGAATTTATCCAGTAACTGAGACATGTTTTGTTGTCTGTTGCCAAAATGGAAGAGACACAATAGCCCTGTCCTACTACCCACGCTTGTCGTCTTGTCAGATAAGCCAAGAGCCCACTGTGTTGTCCATTAGCTGTCAACAGTGCCCAAGTACACACCACAAGTACACAGCAAAATGTACAAGATACGGAGGAGTCATCCGATCACTTGGGCTCAAATACATTGGGCTCTTTTAAAGAAGATATTTTGACATGTCACAGTAGGAAAAGTGCAGCTGTCGTCACAGGTGTAAATAATGACAGTGCTAAAACCACATGAGAAGGAACGACAACTCAATTTTGAGAGAAGCTCTCGCTAATGTTTGCGTGCTATAGCTAAGTGCCCAGCTGGGCTGTCTTTCAAAAAATACTAAGTCAAAACTGTTTAAAGCCCAGCACACTCACACAGGTGCTTCCACTTGGCTAATTAGACCTCTGTACACTATATATAGTACACATGATGTCACAGGAAAGTGAGAGAGATGTCAATCAAGCATGTCTAGACACGCTCACACTGTCCTGAGAAGAGATCTAATTAGGCAAAGAATAAATTGAAAACACCTGTGTGGGTGAACCACTGTTCTATAGTTTTTTTTAAGAATTAAGAATTAAGTTAATAATTGATTTCATACTTTGACAGATTATGTATGTCCAACATGTAACGTGTGACGAGGCTGCCATTTGGAGCTCTAATCTGAGATAGGAGTGATGTGCGGCATTAAACATGGGCGACACATCATGTACCTTATCTTCTCTCGGTTACAGCAGGTGCCGCTAGTCTATCCTGATTCTTGAAGCAACATGAATGGACAACCTGAGGGGACATAAGGGGGCCACTCTCATTTCCTGGCTCTCAACCCTTGGTAATTACGTATGCGTGCCCAAAGGCCCTCTGTGTGCTTTAGAGAAAGAGAGAACTAAAGGCAAGATAGTGAAGTTATGTACTGCGGAACAGGTCTACTGTAAAACACATACAGTTCTACAACAGCTCAGAGACACAAGCCATGAAATATTAGTTATATTTACTTGTATTATTTCATATTATATCTGTGCAACATACAGGTGGATGTTTAATGGGTATTCATTTCCCCTGATGGATTCAATAAGTAGTTTGCATAAAAACACAATAAATACAATCCACATAGTTGAGTGTAATTGTATAGTGCTGTGGTTTGAAGGTAGCTGCTAGTACAATGGAGCTCTGAGGACAAAACACCTATAAAATTACATTTGAGAAAAATCTCATTCTAAATAACACGAAAATAATAAGATAGTAAAATCAACGGAGCATGTTGTGAACAGTATCCCAAATGGAATTATTCCGTGTAAGGTGATTTTGGGGAGCTTTGAGTACCACACACCAAATGCCAGTAAGCTTTATTGTATTGGAATAAGATACTAATAATAATAATAAACTTAAGCAAACCACACAGTAACTGAGAAGAAAAATAAGAGTCATCAGAACGTTGTCCGTCCCAGCAGTGAGGTCATGAGAAGAGACACAGAGCTGCGGCTACAATCTCTCTGGTCTCCCCAGGGGTGGACTCAAATCTGTCAGCACCTTTCTCTAATGCAGCTCTCAGTGAATGGCAACCGGTAAAAGGTACTTCTCCTCAAATACGCCTCCACACACACACACACATACACCACACACCCTCTTCATCCCTACCTACACTACGCGCCAGGAAGCATGGCTCATCTCTTGCTGGCTGGCATCACTCTGTCCCAGGACACACACCTCGCTCAAGCCGGGACAACATCTCCAGTGTCAGGTAGAATGAGGGTCTTTGTTAAGGCAGACTCAATACAGGACCTTCACTGGCAGAAGTAGTTGGTTGGTTTGATAAGGAGAACAGTATCCCTTTTAGCGTTTAGAAGAACTGACTGCAAAAGTGGAAATGGGGACAGTTAGAAAAACTTTGCAGCCCATGCTTGCTTGAGTAGATGCTTTTGTATTAAAAACACGTTCCATGCTCTTTTAATCTAAATGTGGTTCGTGGGGGGCTTCTTTTGTGAATAACTAGGTTAGTTTTACCAGTAATACTGTTTTTTAACAAGGGTACCAATCCAAAACTTTTGATTTGGACTCAGTCTCACATATTAAATTATACTTCAAACCTGCTGTCTGGTATGTCTAGGACCTTGAATGTTGTCAAGACATTATTTTCTGCTTTTCATCTCTTAGGCGTGACATAATAGACAAAAACCCTGTTCAAAAAAGATGAAACTGCAGTGAATCACAAAAAAAGTGAATGGGGTGGTTACATAAGCCAACAAAGCATTTCATTGTATACCATGGAAAAGATAATTGGTAAAATTTGAAATAACTTAACGTTACGTAATTAACCCTGCCTGACAGTAATATGACAGACTTACATGACTAACTTACGTTATAATACGTCTGAAGTTAGCTGACGTACGTTACGTTGGATATGTAGATGTGGATTTTCTCAGCCAAATTAACTAGCTAACTATTGTTTAATTTGTAAGTACTTCTCCGGTTGGTTAGTTTGCCGTTTTGTTTTTAACCAGTGTGTTTATTGCAGGATATATTTTACATGCAGTGCCAAGCTTTGACTTTGTAAAGTGCGACATCTTGTGACGTTGTTAGGTTATTGCTCCACCATTGAGCGTTGAATTTACTCTAACCAATCAGAGAGAAGAATACTGAGACGTCAAAACATTAACCAATGAACGCTTACGTAGTAACAAAAATGGCGCTCTATGTATTGTGAAGTGGAGAAGCTACAAACAAATGTCTTTTATGATTTGAAAAACTGAAAAAGTCAGGTAAGCATCACATTTAGTGATTACATATGTATTTGCCGAGGCATACATTGTTTTTTGCACTCAGCAATACAACTGTGTCTTAATTCAGTAGTTGACGTAATGAATGACATCGGCAGCTAATAGCTAACGTTAAGCTGCCAAATTATGCACAACACAAGTAAGCTACAGTAAGCTAGACTGAGTAGTATCGCTAATAAAGGTTGACTGAAAAGTTGCTTTAATGTCTTCGTGTTTAATATATATATATATATTTAAGTGTATGGTCGTTCCTACCAGGATGAAGGTGGTCAATCTGAAGCAAGCCATTCTACAGGCTTGGAAAGAACGATGGAGTGACTACCAGTGGGCTATTAACATCAAGAAAAACTTCCCAAAGGGAGCAACATGGGACTATCTGAACCTTGCAGGTTAGATGAAAGACTGTAAAGTCCCCTGGTCATCATACTATTTATGTCACTTAATGCCAGTGAGCGTGTTGTCATTTCACTGTGGCTTTAAATGATGTTTGTGTTTTCCAGAGGCCCTGATGGAGCAGGCGATGATTGGTCCCTCTCCCAACCCTCTTATTTTGTCTTACCTCAAATATGCTATAAGTTCCCAGGTGAGAGAAAAAAATCAGTGTTCTGGAAAATGGTGTGTCAAAGAGTGTTATTGTTGTGCAAAAATCTTTACCTTCTCTCTCCTTAGATGGTGTCTTATTCCAGTGTGCTTACTGCCCTGAGCAAGGTAATTTCCACTTGAGGAAAGTTATGGCGTAATGCAGTTTACTGTAAGATATGAGAGCTTTTCATGAATGTCTCTTTTCTGATAGTTTGATGACTTTTCTCGGGAGCTGTGTGTAAAATCCCTGCTGGAGATAATGGACATGTTTTGCCATCGTCTCAGGTGTGTACAGTGATCCGTGACAGTGTTGTGCATTCGATGTCCTTAGTATTACCTGTGACACAAGTCTAACACGTAGCTGCATCAGTTTTGATGTAGGAGTTTTATGCCTGGTTTGAATTAAGAAAGCACAGTTGTCCATTTTTGTAATGATACATTAATACCTAATACAACCATAAAACTCAGTGAGTTATGACAAGCATCAGTGTTCACCAATTGCATAGAAACTATTAATAAACATAAAGATTATGTTTTATGAAGCTGAGAATTTAATTGAGTTTATTTACATCTTGCTTAGACAAATGTTATTCCGATTACTCAAACTTCTCTTTTTATCTAAGCCTAATGTTTTATTTTTTACTGTGCAGCTTCACTATTGCTTGGTTAAAAAAAAAAAAAGTTAAGATGGTTTGGGCAAAGTCACACAATTTCTTCGAATTTAAACAATCAACAATCTCTGACTCACTACCTCTCGTCTCTGAAGCTGTCACGGGAAAGCAGAGGAATGCATCGGGCTGTGTCGGGCTCTGCTCGGAGTGGTGGTGTGGCTGCTGCAGGGCTGTGCCTGGTACTGTGAGAAGCTCCGAGAACTGGGGCCATCAGCCAGCACAGAGGCCATTCTGAGAGGCTGCCAGGAGAGGCTTCAGAATTTGATGAACAGCACCAAGAACAGAGCCCTGGTCCACATCGCTCGGTTGGAGGAACAAGGTGGTACGATTGTGTGTGTGTGTGTGTGTGTGTGTGTGTGTGTGTGTGTGTGTGTGT